GAGAACACCTTAAAGAGGTAGGATCTTGCCTCTAATGCAATTGTTTGGTTGTTTCACGTACTTTTGTGAGCTCCCCAGAGGGAGCTGGGAAATATTTCTTTGCACAGAATCAAGACATTGAACCAGCTGCTTTCTGCAGAGAACTGCAGGAGGCTCAAACTCCTTCAGAGCAGGTAGCTGAGTTAGGGCACGGGAGTCCCTGCCTCTCAAAGAGGGAGGGAAGCAGTGACTCCCGACTGCCAGTCCTCACTGATTTTGAGCACGTTAGGAACCCAGAGCCTGTGTTCCTCTCAGAGGCATGATATATTTGATCCACTGTTTGGCAGCATCTTGTTTCAGAGAGGGACAGGGGCTTGCTACCTCCTGTTGAAGTCCAAGCCATTTCCTCAGTTTGATGTTGTGGTGGTTATCACTATAGCCAATGGTGGTGGGTTGACCCTGGCTGGCAACTAAGACCCTACCCAGTCTCTTGCTCGCTTCCCCACAGTGGGATGTGGGAGAGAAGCAGAAGGGCAAAAGTGAGAGGAAAAACTCATGGGTTGAGGTAAAGACAGTTTAATGAGTGAAGAGAAAACAAAACAAAACACACACACACAAAAAAATCAACTGATGCAAAGGCAATCACTCACCCAGTACAGCAATTTAGTATCAGATGCAGTGGCTGCAGGAACTGATAGGATTGTGCTGCACCTTACCTCCTAATTGTTGGCAAAGAGAATTCCCTTCTGCAAAAGCCCACCACTGTCACCGTATTTCCTTACGCAGGGACTGTGCTCAGGCTTGCACAGGCCATGTGAATTTTATTCTGGAGGTTGATCCTGTTAAGCAATTGTAGCCACAGCTCCCTCAGCTGTTTGTTGAACAAGGAGACACTGTGGTTATAAGAAGATCACAACTATCGGCCCTGTTTTACGATTTTTATGAATGTTAATGGAACAAGGTTTGGGGACTGAAGGAGAAAATGGAATATGAAAAGGGAAATGAAAAGAGGCTGTGAGGAAAGCATGTCATTTCTAAATGAATGCTCTGTGCAGAGGAATTGAATCTTTTCACAGCTGAAAATGGATCTTAAATCTGATGCCTTAGCTTGTTTCAGCTTCTGTAATGAAATAGAGTTTTCCTAATACCTGTGACCTGAATTTCTCCCTGCTTTATGGGTGCTATTCCTTGACGTACAAACCTGTATTTTCTCAAGTCAGCATTTGATGATGGATGTCAAAATACAGGTCATGTATTATGCATATAGCATTACCGATTTAAGGTGTTTACTTGTCAAGTTGAAGAAATTCAGAAATGTCACATTCACTGAATCTGCACAGCTGTCACTTGTAGTTTTTCATGCCTTTAAATGAAAGTTCTGATAAAGCAGGTTAGTTTTCCTGCACTTTTTTTTTTTCTCTTCCGGAGGGAAAAAATAGAGAGCCTATCTATAGAATCTGCATTGTGACTTGGGCGCAGGAATGTGGTCTGAAGGTGTACAATGACTTGTGACTCCAAACATAGGCACACAAAATCCCCAAGTACTCCAATTTTCCTTTCCTGAAAATATTGCAAGATTTTTACATTTTTAAAAAGTGGATTTTTGGAAGTGTCTGAATTAAGCACAGACAAGGAAATTAAATTAAGATAACAGGTATTTCTCACATCTTCCAAGACCATAGGATAAAAAATATTAAGACGTGAGTCTATTTTTCATTCAAGGAGAAAACAAAATCCCTTTAACATGCTTCCTGCATTTCAGACTGAATGCACTATGTGTGCAGTGTGCAATTACAGAGCTCCTGACAGTCTGTGCCTAACAGAAATGACACATTTACTTCAATTTTCTAACACCATCCTAGGAAGACAAATATTTAAAGGGTTAGAGAGGTGGCTACAAATAGCCTTCGATGGAGGGTGTGCGTGTGTGTGCCTCTGTGTGTGTGCACATTGCAGTAGAGGGAGGGCAAGAAGGACTTACACGTTTAGACGCAGTTATGCTAACTTTCTTCAATTTGCTTTTAGCTGGTAGGGAGATACCGATGTGCTCTTGCCATCTGAAGAGCCTGATTCACTGCAAGATGTTTTAGGGAGTGCATCCTGATATGGGGAGAGAAAAGCCTTCAGAAAAACGGAGACCCAGGGCCTCTAGGGATGCCCCCAGCAGTACAACCCCTAGGATGCATGGGAACAAGATTAGTTTTCTCTGCTCTCAGATAAGCGAGTGCTGCTTAAGTCCTGCTGTTGCCATTTTGACTTGTAATTCTGCAGAGGACCCAACTGGGCCTGCCACTACACCTACTTGAGCTTTTTTTAATGTAGTGTGACAAAAGCCGTGTCTTGCCTTTCCTGTAGCATAACAGAATGCAAAACTTAAACACTGGAGCCTGCTGCAGAAGGAGGTGTCACGCTAATACCCACCTGTTCTCAGATAGCATTCCCTCCCTTTGGAGTCCTACTTTAATTTTCCTGCTGTTGTGAGAGTGTCAGGGTTACCTTTAACTCATGAGGTGGTGCCTGAAGGAACTGCATTAGACTCACTTTGTGAGTCTGAGAAATCCTAGGTTCTGCCATGCAGAAGTAAGCATTCAAAGAGCCAATACAGCTATCAGTCACAGTGCCAGACTCAAGGAAATATTTGCAAACCAATACCAGTTGGGAATGCAACTTACTGTCACCATGCCGGTCCTACCGAACTAGTTTCAGCACAACGAGTAATATTAAATGACCGACTGTGGATATGGTCTTCAGTAAAGCCTTTGACACTGTCTCCCACAGCATTCTCCTAGAGAAGCTGGCGGCTCACGGTTTAGACAGGTACACTCTTCACTGGGTAAAAAACTGGCTGGATGGCCAAGCCCAGAGAGTTGTGGTGAACGGAGTTCAATCCAGGTGGCGGCCTGTTCACGAGCGGTGTTCCCCAGGGCTCAGTTTTGGGGCCAGTCTTGTTCAATACCTTTATCAATGATCTGGATGAGGGGATCGAGTGCTCCCTCAGTAAGTTTGCAGATGCCACGAAGCGGGGCTGCAGTGTTGATCTGCTCGAGGGTAGGAAGGCTCTGCAGAGGGACCTGGACAGGCTGGATCGATGGGCTGAGGCCAATTGTATGAGGTTCAACAAGGCCGAGTGCCGGGTCCTGCACTTGGGCCACAACAACCCCATGCAGCGCTACAGGCTGGGGGAAGAGTGGCTGGAAAGCTGCCCAGAGGAAAAGGACCTGGGGGTGCTGGTTGACAGCCGGCTGAACATGAGCCGGCAGTGTGCCCAGGTGGCCAAAAAGGTCTTTTCCAACCGTAGTGATTCTATGATTCTATGATTCTATGACTGTTAACATTGTCAACATTTCCGACTGTCTCTAAGAAATCTGCTTTCTAAAGATTTTTTGTGCACTGGTAATATTAAATAGAATTGCTTTGCTGTCTTAGGTTTGCCTATAGCGATGTTTCTGTCTTGCAAGCCTGTTGAAGAAACCACATCCACTTCTTTTCTCCCAAGGAATTTCTTCACAGACTTTTCACTCCCTTTTTACTTATCCTGTCCTTACAATCCTCATGTTGTATCTAACTTTTATGTGATAGTCAGAAGAAAATTCATACTGGTACCTTCTGGAGGGCTAAGTAAGTCTCTCTTCTCAGTGATTCTAGTTTTATTACCTATATATTCTATATGTGATATAGCAAAACATAGGGAGAAGTGAACTGAGTATCAAATAAAAATTTAAATCCCATTAAATCAAGAAGTCCAGATCTAGTGGTTCTTATAGTTTGTCTTGTTTAGGAACAGTTTAAGAGTGATGGTACTTATCACTGGAAAAGAACCATAAATCCCTCAGAAAGACAATATAAAGCCTCTGACATTGTTCTACATGCAACCCTAAAGTCAAACTCTGGCTTCACCATCACTTCTGCAATAATTACATTAAATGAACATTCCCATGCTTTCCGCAGCTTTAAGGGACAAGGGAGATGGAATGCATTAGCTTCAGCTGTGAATTTCCAGTCCAACAGTTGAATGGACTTTTGTATAACTGCCTATTTTTCAGTACTTACAATCAAACTCCAAAAGGCTTGGCCTGGGTATTTTTTATTTAAAAAAAAAAAAAAAGATTAAAAAATGCTTAGTGTCAAGATCTCCATTTCAAACTTTCTAGAGAATCAGGATGAAAACACAATCTTTTTTAGAGGTGAACCTTGCTGCTCTCCAGATCTCTTTTTTCTTTGAGTGCCTGCCAATATGTTTCCTCTCCCACCTTTGTTTCCTTTACATCCGCAAAAGTATAAAACTCTTTCTAGTTTCTTTTCAAGAATTCCTCTTACATACCGTTTGAAAACCTGTGTCTTTTTCCTTCCATCCTATCTTTTTTTTCCCTGTTAGAATGGACCCTTCCATCCCAGTGTTCCTATAATTGTAACACTCATAAAAATACATATTATGAATGGTACACCTGAAAAGAAAAAAAAAAAAATTTTTGTGGGTTGTATTGCTCATGGAAAACAGTTAGAAAATTTTAAATCCTGCATGTTGGTCAAACCTAAAACCTGCTAATGGAAGCAATGTGTTCCTTGTAGTTGTACTACTGTTTACAACCAATACTCTTTAAATGTTAATTGAGATTTAAGGAAAGGTGTTTGTTTCAGGATTATTTGAAATACTAATAGGACAAAATTAAACCTCCCTAACACTGAAGTCTTTATTTTATTATTTATATTATTATTTCTATTTGGCATGTTTTGATGCAAAAGCTACCTAGGATAACAAAATAAATTTCAGTTTCTCCATTAGCTACCAGATACCTTACAGTAGAAATGACCTGCATATTTGTGAAGGATTATGCTTTTATGAAATAGTTGTTGAAAATAAAGTCTTTTTTTTTTTAAATGACAATTTTTTTCCCATACTTTTCTGGAAAAAAAAAATAATTAGAGATGGGAAATTCCCTGTTGGTGGTGATTTTTTTTTTATATAGTTTGTCCTGTGTAAAATTTCTCTTTTTTCTTTTTTTTTTTTTCCTTTTAGGCTTTACACCCCCTGGGATGGATCGGTCATCTCCAGACAACAGCCCAGTCCATGGCCTCTTACGTCAACCCTCCATTACAACAGGAGCCAACATCCCTATTATAACAGAGCTAGGTAAGAAAAGCTAACATTTATCCTTTCATGTACATTCCCATATCTTTTTCCCACTTCACTTGTTATGCAGTCTCAGGAAAATTACCTATACTGTATCTTACACTGCTATGTTTTCTTTTCTGATAACTGTTTTGAATTACTCTCTCTAAAGAAAGATTAGTAACAGTTGTTTCACTTATTTGAATAACTGAAATATATTTCTCTCTTTCCTTTGGGTTTTCTCCATTTTCTTAAATAAACACTCTATCAGACAAGATGCTTTTTACGTAGTGTAACAAATAAGCAGGGGTCTTTGGGCTAAGGTTAGAAAAGAAAAAAACCACAGTAAGTATGAGCAGACATTTCCTGTGCATTTAATCAATAGTAAGAGGCCATTTGTTTATTTCTTCATGGTCCAGAACTGTTTAATCATGTGTAACCAAACTCTGTATAATAGTATGAGACATTTTACTCCTGAGAATACGATGATGGTAGGTAACCAGGCTCTGATTTCCCCTCTAGCTGTGGGTATTTATGTTGTCAAGTGGTGTGATGTGAAGTGCAGAAGCTGTTCTGTTTTTTTCATGGCAAATACAAACTTGATTTGTGGTTCTTTGTCCTTTTATTTTCCTTTTCAGTTTTATTTTTTAGAACCTTACCTGTCTTTTTCCCTTACTTCATTCTCTTTCTGTACTTTCTTTTCCCCCTAAATACTTTACTTATTAGCTAAGCCTGGCAAACTTCTGCCTTTGGTTTCAATCAGTCAGGAAAAAAACAGTGGAACCCACATTCTAATGATAACTGAACTGGGTAAGAAGTGCCTTTTTCCTTCACATCACTGTCTTATTTTCTGTTGTTGTTGTTCTTACTGTCATCAGCTTTTTCTTTATTTATCTGGCTGTATCAGAGGGGCTACCCTCATGGCACTGCTTTGAATGTGTTTTATTTGTGGTTCTGGTTGAAATTGACTGTCTTGTTCTGGCCTTTCTTAATGATTTTTTTTTTCACGCAGCATCAGTAAACCTTTGATCACACCCGTCTGACCTGCCGGCTGTTTTCATAGCACCTTCTCACCAATTCATTTTCTTTGGCCTGGGTGCCCACCTCCCAGGCCCTACTCCCCCGCCCCTCCCAGTTTTTCTCTCCTTTTCTCTCTCTCTTTCTTTCTCTTTTTGTTATTTCAGCCTATTGTCAATTTGGTGGACATGCCTTAGCAGTTCTCACAGGAAGTCAAAGAAGAAGTAAAAGATATCAGAAAAGAAACCCCAGCATCATACTTTCCCTTAAGCTATTTGTTTGTTTATTTTGGGGAGTAGGCCTTTTCTCAGAAGCTCAGGTTTTGAAGCTGTAAAAAAGCAGCCAAGCTTCTGCGTTGCTCCCTCTCAATAAAGAGAGCCCTCGCCAGCCTTTGTGAGCAGCGTTTGATGAGCATTTCCTATGGCGCAGCACCACACGTTCAAGCCTAGCCCGGAGACCTTTTTGTAGAAATCCTAGCGTGCTAACTTGCATCAGGAAGATAAAGATATTGAGGATAAAACCACACTTGCAGAATTCACGTTAGGTTTGTAGTACCTTGGAAACTGACACCACACAGGGCTAGCAAGCTGGTGTCAAAGTCAGGTATTTGTCTGCTGGATGTAAGTGAAAAAGAATGCTACTGTCAATAGCACCTACTCTCAACTAGCAAATTAAACTAAGGCACAAGCTCTTCAAAAAGTACATTTTGAAATGATACATCAGGCTTTCAAATACTATTTTGCTCAAGAATCTGGAGAATAAATTGATAGCTATTGTACAAAGAAGGGAGTATTGTGGATATTGATGAAATTCTTCTGACTCCCAGGGCAGAACACTTCTCCATTTACAACGCTGAGGTGTTATGTTTTCCTGGTTACATCAAGGAGAGGGAAGGCAGGAATTTTAAGTCCTACTTCAGCTCAGGTCCTGACTTACTCTATGATCATGGCCAAGTACTGGCTCAACAGGGCTCTAAAAAAAAGGATAACAATTCTCATTTCTTTTAGACAACTATTGTGAGGCTTTATCTATAGTTATTCATGTTTTGTAAGCTAAGCATGGCAAGCACAGTAGTGTATACAGGTTGGATGGAAAATGAAAGTGGAAAAAGAGTGGATGGAAAATGAAACTACATAGGAAGGAAGATCAGAGTAGCAGACAGAAGACTTTCTAGCCTAAAAAGTCCAGAGCCGAAACCTGATCAAGTTAACAGCAGCTCTCACGTTGGTTTCAAAGTTCCCTGGGCTGGCTCAGGAGGTGTCTTCGCATAGGGAACATAGGAATAGGGACATAATCAATGTGCGTAGTTTCAAATGCTGAAAAATTTTTTAATTTCCCTTCCTTGCATGGGAACTGAAATTAATTTATCATTTAGTAAGTTAAAGGGTATTTTGATGGCATAGCTAAGCAGTCTTTGCTTTCATGCCTGAGGAGGACTAATACGGAAATAAAGTATTTCATGAAATGTGATCCGCTTGATACACTGATCTCGAGGAAACAACTATTTTTAGTGGAATGAGGTGGAGGCAAAAAGCTTAACTGTGACAATGAAATGCCAGAGAAAGTCTAAACGACAAATATTACTTTATTTGGGCTTTTTCTTTAAAACAGCCTGATGTAGATTCTTTTTCACACTGGCTAATATAGAATTTGTGGCTAAGGAAGTGAAGTTATGGAGACAAATATTTGAACAAAAGGCAGTGCTGCAAGAGAATAGCTGGAGTATTGCTCATTCATTCAGATAGATGCATGTTAAAGCGACAGTTTATCCTCTTTTGAGCTGTAAGTGCATTAACACCGCTCCAGTAAGAATCACAGCAGCACATCTAACAGATGCCTGTGGGCTATATCAGAGTTTTATGGACAGCCTTTATTTTACAAAGGGGTTCTGACTCGGTGTCCTGTGATAACATTTCACTATATATGCATACAGCCTTAGCCACTGTACCCGACCAATACCAAGAGTATCATGATTCTCATTTTGAGTGCAGGCAGCTGGTGCCATGAAGCTACTTCTACAGCAAAGGGATAGTCACCTCTCAAGAGCAAGAGGGTCACCTCTTACGAGCAAGATATTGATCAACAGATTTTTAAATGCACATTTTCACATCCATCTTGATTTCATTTTCAGTGACGTCAAAGACACAAGTCTGTGTTTCCAGACATATGCCGTTTCTTTTTCTTTCTGACTGTCTAATGTGTAAGGTCACAGCCTGGTGACCCAGAAGCACCTTATGATTTTATTATTATTATTATTTTCAGTAAATGATTCAAATGTTCAGTTCTTGGACCAAGATGATGATGATGATCCAGACACAGAACTGTATCTCACGCAGCCCTTTGCATGTGGAACCGCATTTGCTGTCAGTGTGCTGGACTCTCTGATGAGCGCAGTAAGCAAATAAAACCTTTTTCATTCTCTTCCATCAGACTTATTGTGAAAGAGCATGAAAGCATAGTCCCTTTTCCACAGGTAGTCAGGAGAAGACACTTTTCTCTTAGATGTCAAGAGAATTTCAGAGCCTAAACTAGGTTATTTTGTAGTTGGACACAGAGACCTTAAAACAACTGAGATATCTAGGACTACCATGAGTCCACAATTTTAAAAGCAGAGAGTCTCATGTCCAGCTTTAAGGATAATATTTTCAAAAAAATGTTGTATCTCCCTCCTGAAGCCCAGGCCCAAATTCAGTGTGTCAGTCCCTATGCTCACGGTTCATGTCAGACAGCATCAACTGTGTTTTAAGCTTTTAATTTCCTGTAGCCATGAACAATGCTCTGAGTATGAGCACTGGGGGACACTGACAGAACTATACAAAAGCCATTGTACACATCAAGTGAACTCTACTTGTGTGAAGAGAGGTCATCATCTCTTTTTCACATGAGTTGTCTTGTGAATGAAAACATAAGTGCATGCCAGAAACTACAGATGGTGGCCTTTGGTTATGTCTACATTAGGGTTTTTGGTTTGCAGCCATAGTATAGTTTTGAAGCAAACGCCTCAGTCATACACCTTTTCATCGTCCCTTGCTTCATATTGGCTAGGTTTTCAGACCAGTCTTGCTCTCTGTGAGCTGCACTTCTCTCAGAGGGACCTTAAGATGTAGCAAGGACAAAGCCTTTTTAAAATCTAAGCATAGGCTTTCTGAGCTCCCCATGGAATAAAGTTCCATGGTGCTGGGAATCATCTGTTGTAAACCCCACATAATATTAGAAATGAGCAAATAGATTTCCTTAAAGGAGCCAAATCTGACCTTCACCTAAATTCAGAATGAAGCTTTTTAGTTTTAAGAAAAATTCATGGTGATCTTTATTATTTGATATTTTATTTGTATTTCATATTTATGTATCTGTATTTCATATTTTTATTCCCTGCTATATTCCTCATATGGTCCATCCACAGATGAATAATATCAGTCTACACTGATAAAATTTTATTCTAATGCAGCCTAGGAGTTTGCAATAAACTCAGAAAATAATTTTTTTGAAGGTTATTGGCCATATTTTGCAGATGTGACAAATTCAAAAAGCCTAAGCAAGCACACTTAAACTCTATACCTTCTCTAATTAAAATCTCTATGAATAAAACATTTAGCATTTTCACATTATAAATGGGAATAATTTAACATGAAAGTTCCAAATTGTTATACTCAGAGCTGTTTATCTACTCACATTATTATCTAAATCAATGTCCCTGAATGAATTGTTTGGTAGGGCACTTCCAGAATCTTGGAAAAAGTAGGGTTAATTCTTCTGCTTCCCACTGGCATCGCCACAAAAAGAGAACGAAATGTTGTGGACACCATTGCTTTCTTGTGCAAAGGTATATCATGTAGATAATAGTGAGGCAATAAGAAATATGTGGAACGTGACTGTTCAGAAATTTTTACTTGGAACTCATATATAATCCTCACAATATTTTTAGTTATTGCTAGCTTTTATTAACTTTTAGTTTTTGACAACATGCCCCTCTGTTTCTGCAATTTCTTTCTTCAACAGGGTCTTTTTTTCAAATATTTTCACATTTAAGTGGTCATATTTTATGTCAGGGACAGTGCAGCCTGAAGCCAGAGAAGTAAATGTGATAACAAGAGTAGAAAATTCTAACTTAGAAAAAATACTAATCAAGAAGACAAGCCAAGGATTCAGTCAGTTAGAATTGTTCACCATCCTGTCTTTTCTTTCACCACTTTGCTGATCGGTGGCAGCATTATTTTCTCTTTTATTCCTCAAAGGCGTAGTAAAGAGTTGGAAAAGTACAATTCTTCCTGACCCTTCAGAAAGTGTAAGATGTGTGAGATGTTTTCCCTTTACTATCCCTATTCTCATGGGAAGGAAGTATTCTCCTTTCTTCTCTGAGGAGAAGAGTGTTTCTCATGCAAACTAATCTACTTGCACTATATTATCTCTTTTTTTTCTAGAGTACACTTGTTTTTAGGGACCAGCTTCTATTTATTCTGCCTAACTTCAAGCCAGTACCGGCAAACTGAACCCAAAATCCTTAAAAAACTTGTGAGATCTGCATCATGCTTTCATCCTATTAATTGCACAGGAATTCTGTAAGAAGGAAATAATTCACACTGTGCTGGCCTGTGCCAGCTCACTTTGAGACAAGGATATAGTTCATTATTTGATCCGCTTAGTGATTCAGGGCTTTTTATTGCTTAATTTTTATAGAAAAATTCCAATTTATGATCTCTGTGGATATCTCTGGAATGCAAATTCCTTACATGGTCTACAATACAAACGTACAATGTATGAACTGCTCCATTAAGAATGAATCTCTTCTCACAGTAGTGGGGTTTTGTAGTAAAACAGGTGTAAGAAAGATTGGAAAGTAGAATAGTACCCATGCATACAGTATTCTTTCTGACCTGCAGGTAATTTGAAACATACATATAAATGTATGTATATAGAAAAAGAAGTACAAAATATATTTAAAATAATTTGCTAACATATTCAGTTAATAATAATAATTCAACAGTATTAATCAGTGATAAATTATTATTTTCTTTTATATAATTTTATTAATATAGAAGTAGTGGACTAAACCCTACTAATGAATCACAGATTAGAAAATGTGTTGTCACTGTCTGATTCAAATCTGAATGCTGAAGATCATTACGTTCTGCTAGTTTAGCATTCTTTCCTATAAGATGACAGTATTAGATGTTTTAAATTTGAAATTGTCTCTTTTTTGTTATTTCAAAGATAAAAGGCTTAATGAAGTTTACTTTTCAAAATGCTATCTACAGGCTATCTACACACAGATTGTCCTCTGCAGCAAAGGCAATATATTCCACAAGCCTGTGATTCACGGTGTGGTAGTTCGAATATCATTGCTCAGAAGGCAATAACGAGCTCAAAAACAGCATTGTCTTTCTGATGAGTTGGTAACCGCGGTCTCTCCAGGCTTCGGTCAAAGTGCATTATTGTACTCTGCGTGAAGACTGTAGGCACGGTTCATGTTTTAAGTGTGGCAGTGGCTATTGTTAAATAGCACCAGCTAATCATTATTACGTCTTTGAAGAGTCATCTACTGCCATCAGAGACTTGAATGATATATTAATATTTGTTTTGTCATAACATATGCAAACCTAGGGAGAGAACGTGTGTAGTCTGTCAGTCTCAAGGTGGCGCCACTCCTGAAAAGCAAAGCACGTTCTCATCATCAAATTGAATGTGACTAAAAAACTTGGGATTGGAAGCATCTTTTAGATAATGTGGATTTTTTGTAAAAAGATTATCTTCAGCTATAAAAAAGTTACATGACATAGGATAGCTTAAGAGAAGCAAATTTTTGAGGAGAAGTACTTTTTCCTTTTCTGGGTCTTGTTGAGATAGTTATTTCAGAAAATCCTGTGTGTGCAAGGAAACTAGTTTTATCAACACACAGTACCTTCAAAGGTTTGAACAGCTGGCCTGAGAGGCAAAGCTTCTCTGTTATTCCTTTTGGTGCTGAAGCTATGAGAACCACAGAAGTTCTGGCAGGTTGGCATCCCTCCCGTACATACTGCTGACAATAGACTTGATATGCTGTCGGAGTGGTAATGTTAGAGGCAAGGATCTCGGGAACCAGGTTATACCATTTAGCATTCGATATCCTAGAATTTATTTTCTTGTGCTAGAATGTTAGGTCTTGATTTTTGTTCTATAATACTAAGTTCTACTTTTTCTTCATATAAATGAAAACACAGAATGGAAGACAATAGTTAAAACAGTTAAAAATAACTTTTCAGTATATCACTTACTCAAGAGTTCTCCCTCAGGGATCCTCACAGTCTTGTATATACAGAAAAGAAACTGTTCTAATCTATGATATGGACATTTTGAAACACAAGACTATTTTTTGTGCAAGTCTGTTCAGGGAATTAGCAAGCAGCATCTTGTAACCTAAAGCGTCCCAAACTTCTTTAAAGTTTGGACAATATTTTGAGAATAATTAGATTTTCAAACTATGAAACGCTGTTATTTATTTTCTGCTGTTTTTGTTATTGGTGTAAGTTACTGATATTAGCTCAGTTGTTCCTCAGGTTGGGATATATATTATTCATTCAACTGAATTCCTCCAACTGAAAAAGGAAAGCAAGTTAAAATACTTGTTTCAAAGCAATGCTAAAAACTGCATGCAATGGAGAAGGAGTCTTCTTAAAAGAAATCCATAAAAAACCACTAGCAAACACAAAAAAATGGCAGATATGACTTGGAAAATGACAATTTTAGAGTAATTACAAATGAAAGGCAAAGTGCTATTAAAGTTAAAGCAATGTTATTAAAAGATGTGCTAATTTTCAGTTAAATTTTCTGTAAAAGACCAATTAGTTTAAAAGGCTTGACAGCATTAACTGCAAAACATAAGCACTCTGGTAATTATACTTTAAAAAATGATTGAACAAATGGCAAAGCATCCCCGAAACGTTTGAAAGAGCTGCACTACAATTCCAAAGCATAGGCTAGGTGGCACTGCTAGCTCAGATATCTGTGTCAGAATTTCCTTGCTATTTACCCAGTTTCAGTGTCTATGATGCATTTCCTTTTTTCTGTATTTGGACTACACCTATTTCATATTCTCATTCCAGATGCTGATTATAGCGATGTCATACAGATGTCCAGTGTGGGGTTCAGTTAATGGCAGCAGCAAACAAGTATTTCTTCAGTTATGATTTTACAGTCAACCAAAGGGATTCACTACCATCACTGGAAAGTGTCTTGTTACTTTAAGCACAGCAGCACCTTTCCAAAGACATTCTGTAGATCCGTTTCTTATAAGTACTGGCATATCCAGGCCATGTACCCTCCCACAGAGCAAGTAGAAGATCACTCTCAAATTAATTTCAGTGTATTATTATTCCAAGGAAATGGATATCAGCTAGTTCAGCTTTTCAGTGTCCCCCAGTTCCAAACTGGCAAGAGGTAATGAGAGGAGTCTGATTTTCGTGACAACAAAAGCATGGACAGAAGGGGTTTTCCTGAGGAGTGTTAAATATATTAGTACAGGAGGAAGCAACCCTATTTAGCAGAAGGTGACGAGTTACAGCTTCCTATTCATCCATCCTTTCTTCCTTATGGTTGGGCATTTTCTGATCAGTTGCAATGCCAGAGCAGTCTGCCCTGAAAGTTGGAATCTTTTCACTCATTGATGGCAAAAAAACAAAACCCATCATTTGGCTGCACTCATCCATCTGATTAAATGGTGACATCCACATCAGTCATGGTGTGAAACCCAAATTAAGCCATTGTTCCAAGATAAATGTTGCCTCCCTTGCTAGTAAGTGTCTTAGCTTTGCCTTAACATTTGTCTAGCGGTGGGAGGCCTTTCCCCAGTGACAGCATTCTGCTCCATCGACAATAGACCTGATTCTTTTCTCAGTTGCATCAGTTTCACAGTAGCGTATGGCTCCCAGAGTTACTCCTGGTTGGCACATGACATAAGTCAGAATTGGGCCCAGTATGTCTTAATTGCACTGGGGTTTAGGGGGCGTATTTTATTTTATTTTGTTTTGTTTGTATTAATGAATTTGTGACAGGTGCCTGACCTGATACATTATTTTACTACTGCTTTCATTTCTTGGTTTAATATGAGATCTGTAGTAAAATGAGTGACATGGCCATAGTATAATTTCTTAGCAGATCATGCTCTATTGAGCTACAACTGAATTTACGATAAGGGGTAATTGTGCACTCGCATAGTACAAAATTCAGATGAGCTAAGAGTATATGTGTTTAAATCTTGGATTCTGGCTATAGTTGCTATAATTTGAATTACAAAATAAAAAAGAGAGAAAGAGTTGGAAATCAGTGAAGGCTGGGCTAATGATACCTCCTAAAGAGTAATAAAATTATTAGTACAATTTTAGACTTTTGCATGTTTTACCAATCACTGCAAGTCAGCAGTCTATAAAAACAGGCTATTTTACACAAACCAGCATCCATCAGTCTTAGAGCAGGTGAACATTTCTTACCATAGTTGGCCTCATTGTAAACCAGACTTGAAAAATCTGCCACTGAATATATGCTTTACTTTTGTTTCATGTTCTATCTCAATTCATAGATGTAAATCTGAGAATAGCATTTTTGAATAATACTAAATATCACTACTTAGAGAAGAAAAACAAATTAAAAATACTGAATAAAAGAGTGGGGAAGGCATGAGAAAAGATACCATTGCAGAAAATGGTATGCTTTTGTGAAGATGTGTGCTTAAAGTGCCGTATAGAATATGTTGAAGCACATTTTTACTGAAAGGGGCTTTTCCAGCTTCTACAATTGCAGTGCCTCCAACCTCTAGATCTGGCAGAATTTGGCTTTATATTCATGAAACTGGTGTCAAGTAACATTGCTGCCTAACTGCAGGAGCAAAGAAATTGTGCGAATTATTTGAGTTCTGAGTGGTATATAGTATACACTGACAAAGGCTAAGAAAAGAGACTAAACTTAATGCTGATTTTTTTATTCTGAGTACTTCCATGTTGGAAAAGTGTAGCACAGTGGGAAGAGTTGCTGAAGAGGGCAACTCTGATTCTCACCTCAGGAACATCAAGGAAGAAATAATTGAAAAATAAACAATCTTCCTGAACGTCTTCTCTCTCTCACCACGGCAATTCCTATTAAACATCATGTAATCACTCCAGAGTTACATTCCTGCAAGGGGTCACATTGATTTTTCTATATGTTAAGAAAGGTTTGAGTATTACACTTGAATTGTTACACAGTGCCTCCACTTATGTAAGAGCTGATTTGAGATTAGCTGCTGTTTTAGACTAACTGAATCTTCCTGAACCCCTGCTAATGTCAGACAACTCTTTACAGTACACTTTGTATTTAAAATATGTAGTGCCTTACCCGGGCTAATTTAAAATAGTTGGAGTTGATGAGATGCAAATATTTGCTTTAGGGCATGTATAACAATAACAATATGTTCCTCTCATTTTAGTTTAGTCAACAGGTGAATGGCATATATGCCTATGTAAATAAGCAGAGAAGCTTGAAGTTATGAAACTTCAACGTAACAGTGAAAATCGTTGCCACATAGAATTCATTTTCTCCTGTTTTATCTGTCGTCTCAAGTGAACAATAAAACTGAAGTTTCATTATACAAAGAAAGAATATTAAAGTAACATGGATAGGAAGCCAGTTCTGCTTTTTGATCTCAGGATAAAATATTTCAACCTGTACCTCAGTTTACCCATGTGTTAAATACAATTACATTATATGGATAGAGCAATGAATTTCATTGAAAAGTATTATTTAAAAAGTATTATCTTTGGACAACAAGCAATTCTCTGTTTGAGAATTCAGTATTCATTTTTACTCGGTTGGATTACAGACATTTGCTCCAAGTCCTAAGTTCAACAAAAGTCACAAATCTAGTGATGGAATCCACAAATCCCGTAATGTCAATCCTGTGTACTCTACAGTGAGCTCATTTTCTTCTCCTATGTCCCCCACACTTGCAAAGCTTCTGAAAACACAGACATTAGTGACATCGTAAGTGATGGTGCCTCCTTTTTTTGTTCAACATTATTTTTTGCCCAACACATTACATTGCAGATATTTAACTGAGTATCTCTGAACTATACCAGTATACTTTTAAGTGAACTTGAAAGTCATTCATCTGGCATTAAATTAATATTTAAAATACCCATTGTTTGCCTGACAGACCAGCAATGCTACAGATGCTGGCAAAATGTCAGTGTGGAGTAAATCTTCCCTAATAAAGCACACTTACCCTATACCCTAGAGTTTTTTAAAAGGACCACCAGGATCCCAAACTCATCATACATTTATCTGGAATGAACTCAAGATGTTTAATTGATACATGCTTATGTCTGAACACTGTCAAGTCTCGTAATAAGATGTTTAGTACAGTACATCGGTTAGACTGCTAGAGTCCAGCCACAGTAATAAGTAATGACATTTGCAGCGCAAAGGCAGCTCCCCAACGAATTGGTGACAAGAGTAAAAAAGCAATCTAGCCTGTGTAAGCTTTAAATGTGGTCTGAATTTTACAATTACATGTCCTAAAGCCCATTATTAGACATGAAGGCAATGAGAAGGAAAGCAGTCATTGCATCACTACTAACACCAATTATAGGAAACATAAATCATTCAAATTTTTGTACTTTAATAAAAATCAGCCTGAATTGGTGTTTAAAAGGAAGGACCTAGTATAGGAGCCTAATGGGATAGAAGAAAATTGGAGGCTGCTGTCTTTTCACTTTCTATATAAAATTATTTGAAGAGACAGCCAAGAACTTTAAACAGCAGAAACCCAGAAAAGTTGTAATTTGGATGTCTTCAGTTGTGACTTTAATGGTGTTTGCTTAAAGAGCTTTCTTTTATCTCTGCAGACATACTTCAATGACAATATCCTCACACTGATACGGACATTGGTAACAGGAGGAGCCACACCAGAGCTGGAAGCACTGATTGCTGAGGAAAATGCATTGAGAGGAGGTTACAGCACGCCCCAGACACTTGCAAACAGGGACAGGTGTCGAGTTGCTCAGTTGGCTTTGTATGACGGGCCGTTTGCAGACCTAGGGGTAAGATCATAAGGGAAATGTAGGACCAAGGCTGGTCTGCAATCTATTTGTTTTCTCTCAGACTGAATTAAAAATCTATCTTAATTAGCGTGTAATTTCTATCATTTAATTTAATAGAGCTTTTGGATCCTTTGACAATTTACAGCACAGGGTGCCGGGTTTGCTCTTACCCTTTTTAAGAAGCTATATGACTACCCAGACTCCTTGCCTGGCTATTTCATGCAGAAAATCCTGTGGTTCTTCTTAGTTGTCAGCTGAAGAGATGGATGAGCTGACTTGGATGATACAACCATTATAACAATAATCCATTGTAAACATGAGCAATATCTATACCTTTGCTGGGTTTTTATAAGCTTATTTAGTCTTTCCACGGAGCTTCCAGTTCTTGCTTAAAATATGCTTATTAGCTTGAAAACAAAGCTATAAGGTTTGTTTTCTGCTGTTTCTGGATGAACTAAAATTCTTGTGAAATCCTAATTTTCTGACATTTTGACTCCACTATCCTAAGAGTGAAGTAAAAAAAAAAAAAACAACAAAACAAAACAAAACCAAAACCAAATAAACAAGCCATCTTTAAAAAATGGTGCATTTAAAGAAGTACTTAGCAATGTTTTCTGGACCAAATCTTGTAATCTTGAGGTGAATCCCAAAGCATCCACTTCATTTTGATGATGATGTAGGATTTGATATTTCTTAAATTAACCTTGTGTTCACCAGCTCTGTTCAAAAAGAATGGAGCAACCTTCTTCACAGAAATGACAGGGAATCCCAGTTTAAGGGTTAAGGGTGGTGAGAGTGCACAGATAGAAGTAAACAGCCTTTCAGTTCATGTAGAAGTCCATTCATAGCTGAGATTAACAGCTCATCAAAACACTTGGGCATGCGGCGTAACGTTTTCACAAATAAAACAGGCAGTACCAATCCTTCAAATGTTATTTTGCCAGACCCTCAATTGCACTACATCAGTGAAGGTAGAATGCATTAACTCTCGTCATTACTTAAGAATCAATATTTTAGATATACAAATTATCAAATCTAAACTTTTTGCTAATCAAAACATTTTATATTATTTATGAAAAATGGTATACATGTCATCATTATTTTAAAGTAAGAAATATTTTATTATCCATTTAACCCCTCAGAACTCTAATTTCTGTTGTGCTCTCCAGTGAATTTATTTGTCTAGATGACAGTATGGCTACTGCCAAAAAAGGGTCAAAAATACTAACAAGTTTAATACCACAATTAATGTAATTTGTAGAATACGCATTCTTTGGTACCAAAATCTGTATTTCCAGCTTAAAACAAATCACTCACTCTTCCCAATTTACCATCATTTCATGGACCAAGGCTCTCCAAAATAATGATCACTTTACATAATTACTTATTTGAAATAAAACATTTAGATTATTAATTTCCTTCGGTAAAAGATTCTCATTTGTGACAACCAACAGACTGTCTGTGCATTGTCCTTTTTGTACAGGCTCATACTAAAAATCCTGTTCCCTGACATTGTGTGAACAGAGAAAAGAAAGGAAAAAAATGTACTGTTCTTTCTTTTTTTCTTTTCCCCCCTCTCCTTTCTTTCTCCTAGGATGGAGGTTGTTATGGAGATCTATTTTGTAAAGCACTGAAAACATACAATATGCTTTGCTTTGGAATTTATCGATTAAGGGATGCACATCTAAGTACTCCCAGCCAATGCACTAAACGGTAAGTCCAGTCTTTTAGAACATCTGTGCTTCACTGTTCTTCAGTCTTCTCGTCGAGGAAGATCCCAGTGCCTGTAAATATCTAAAAAATAGCTTTCTCCATTTTTTACATAACTTTGCCACAAAAGCTAACTCTTTGAGGACTTCATGATGCCACAAAAGCTAACTCTTTGAGGACTTCATGATGACTCTCTAGCTGAGTTTAAATCATTGGCTGGATATCTGTCCTGGTTTCAGCATATTTGACAATATCATAGCATAAGTTTTCAGCTAATTTTAATAAAAAAAATTTAAAGTAAATTTTCAGAACATATCTTTATCTTGTTTGGTTTATGATGATCCACTGCTTGCATACAAGGAAAGGACTTCAGTTTGCTTATATCAATCAGCTGTAAGTTACTGGATAATGATTTAGATCAGTCTAAATCAGAAAGTCTAGATCAGAAAGTCTAGTAGCTAGACTTTCTTTTTTCTGAATGCTCAAGAAATACACCTGTGGGCTTCCCATTGGTACTATCTGTATCTAATCATAATTTCTTCCAGGAAATGGAAACCCTTCTATTGGTAGGCTGGATTTGTACTTCAGTGGCACCACGGCTGACCTCAGTGCTTTAAATAGATCAGACATATTTCCATCTTTGCAAACTGAAGGCCATTTAGCAGCTTACTTGAAATGTGTCTTAATTAAGTGCCTACTAGAAATACACACACAGACCCATACCAGAACTATCACAAATCTACCATCTGTTACTGTTTCATTCTCTACAAAAACCATCATTATTGGGTGAACATGGCAATAAACAACCCTGCAGCCCACCAAAGCGGTTTCTTCTGTAAGGATTTGGACAAATTGGGTAGAAAAAATGATTTTCAGTTTAGATTTACACTGTACTTGCTATACTTGGGATTATTTGTTGGATTAATAAGTGACTTCTGTCCCTGAGGCAGCTAAGCCAGATTTCTTACAAGCACTGAATTAATTTGAAAAGAAGTTGTGAGCTTCATGATCAATTTTTACTCATTTCTTGCTTGGACAGAAAATGCCTATTGCCTTGCTCAAATGTGTTTTTCACATGCATGAAAAAATTTAACAGCAGGGTCTGTAAACCCTTCTCACCCTGAAAGGGGGTTAGTTGAAGGTGGGGATTCTTGAAATTGATAGAATTTTTATTTCAGGCCTGGGATGTATACTTAGCAATGCTGGATTCTTGGATGTGCAGATTTCTCTTTATAAATGCTCTTTGAGGCCATGAATGTACACATGGAATGAATTAACAAAATTAACCTCTCTGCAAATTTGCTGATATGTTTTCCTTAACTTGTTCTATGTACAGTCACAATCCAAACAAATAATTATATCCCTTGCTCTATTGACAGTATTTAAATATTTAATAAATATATAGTAAATACATATTTAAATATAACTGCACCTAAAATCCTCCTCTCCCTGATTTTCAGCGATTCTTTTAAATACTCTTGCTGGTGGGTACGTTACTGGGTTTTGTCAATATGTAAATCTGTTTGCTAGAGTCATTGCATTACGGTGCAACTAGAGGAAGGAGGGTGATTTGTGTGGTGTTTGCTCTGAAAAATCATGACGTGATTAACTTGAAGAACATCCTACTCAGACAGTATGTCTGTGCAACTGAAAACATACAAAAAGTGATATCTGATATAAGAAGGTCCTAAATCATAACGAGTATTATGCAAGCTAGAATTAGGTACACGCTGAAGAAAACAGAAATGCAAAAAATCTGGGTAAATTTTCATGAGATAACAACTCCAGAAGATTTTTTTTTAGTACAGATCTAAACCTGCTTTCTCTTTCTTTCTTTCTTTTTTCCTTTCTTTCCAGTTATGTTATCACAAACCCACCATATGAATTTGAGCTTGTGCCGACAGACTTGATCTTCTGTTTGATGCAATTTGACCACAACGCTGGCCAGTCCCGGGCCAGTCTTTCTCATTCCTCCCATTCCTCCTATTCTTCCAGCAAGAAGAGTTCATCAGTTCACTCCATCCCATCAACAGCAAACCGACCGAACCGCACCAAGACCAGGGATTCCCGGGAAAAACAGAAGTATGTGCAGGAAGATAGACTTTGATATGTGTACCTGCTCCCACTGTGTGTGAAACTTGCATTCACCACCCATTCTCCCCAGTTAATGTTTCCAGCAGTAACGTTCCCTGTTTTCCCATGGAGTTCTCCCTTTTTGTACACATATTTTGCATATGTATGACAGTGTGCATGTGATTGTCATTTTTATTTCACCACCATAAAACCCTTAAGCACAACAGCAACAAAGCAGACGGACCAAAAGTTATTTATGATGCTAGGGGAGAAAAAAAATTCTAAACCCATAGGCACACTGAAAACATAAATAACTCACTGCAATTACTCTACATATCAGAAAATAGAGTATATTTAACATGAACACTTGCTCTTGATGTCAGAGTTACACAAAGAAAGTCATTTAGTGCAGAAGTGTTGATGTATGTTGCGGTAGGTTTTTTTTATATTCATATTTACAGGAGTTGCTACATTTATTTGAAGCTTATAAAACTAACCCATTGGGGGAAAAGAAAAAAAAAAAAATCCCTACTGATTTTTCACTCTCAAAGCTTATATTGTATAGGGCTTACACTCTTTGTATAGATTATTGCTACGCACCTGCTTTATACCAAAGCAACATCAGGGACTTTTCTGCTAATTTAAGAACTTTCTCTAAAATACAAGCCTTTTGGAGATAGTGTCTTTTCCCTTTAAGACTGAAATTGTCTGGGCGTGGAGTTGTAAAACTCCAATGGTTTAATTTAAGTTTAGAAAGAGTCTAATTGCATATTAAATTATTATTCTGTCTATTTATACTGCCACATGAATAGCTATATTTTCTTTCACTTTTGACATTTGGGATAAAAAGCCATATGTATCATAAATACTGGATGTAAGTCATTAAAAACTGCCTTCCTGGGACTTTTACGTCTTTAAAAGGTGAATTAGTCACCTTATGTACAGAATAAATAATGTTCAGAAAAGAGCAAGCATTTTTCTATGCTTAAGTATCAGATCTCAAGGGACTTTGTTCCTTTCCCCAGATGGTAGTTTAATTTTTCCAAGTTAGAGTGGCGGTATAAATCTTCCAACAAGAATCCTAATATGTGAAGATCCTCCAGAAATCCTGCTCCATGTTCTAGCTGGTTCTTTTCAACAGGTGCATGCCAGTATGCAGGAACACAGGGGAAAACAACTGAGTGCCTTTAAGGTCTCTCCCATTTGGGAAGGAAAGGTGCTGTGCCCTAGACAGCTAATGAGCAGAACAAGAGGGCTGGGGGTGGAAATATTCACTGTGCTGAGGGATCATGTTCTAGGCACTTGCCAGAGTTTGGTTCATGCAGATTCTCACCAATGACACACCTAGCCAGACAAAAATTGTCACAGGGAATTAAATAAAGTAGTGAAAAGGAACCTATCCTAGACAGCCATAGAAGTGATATTTCAAGCTTGTTTTTTTTAATTTCAAATGGCAACCTTTTGAAATATAGAACTAGTTCTAGGTGGTATGAAGAGATTCCCAGGGTAGGGAGACCAGAAACACATACCACCTTCCTGGCTACCCAGCAAGAAAGCATGCAGGCAGAAAATAAGTATTTGGATGTGGGAGTGATTAGCATTGTAACTGCCAACCCAGACAAGGTGCTTTTATGGTTAGTGTTGTTTTCTACCTTTCCCTTCCCCAAGCATGATAATTTTGAAGATTTGCTTGCTGTGTGAATTGACAATGAAGCCAAGCACTTTTACTGACAAAACCTGGAACCATATAAGTGGGCTACAGAGAGTACCACTGTGCAGTGTTAAGCATAATGATTGGAATACAGTATATGTGTGTGTGTGCATTCAAATGCAGCTGTAAGTCCTATCAGTGAAATACGTTGCAAATTATGGATGCTCCCCTACAAATGAGTCTACTACAGTTGCTCTTCCTCATAAAGACAAATTCATGTGTTTCTTTTTGCAAAGGAAGTTATCATATTTTGCCCTAAGAATATTTATTACTACAAGGATGTGCCAGTTAAAGTGCTCAACAGGAAATATGACAGTTTAAAAGCATTGTAAAACTTACATAGCTTACTTCTTTTTCTAAAGTGCAACAAGGATGAATAGAATGGGCCAAGGTATGACAATTAATGGTTCTGCATGACCTAGCAACTGCTGTGGGTTTCCTTCTATAACTTTGTCCTTGTGAAAACTTGTGAAATTAAAAACAATATAGTTACAAACTTTATTCAGTTATTGGTTTGTTTGTTTGGTTGGTTGTTTTGTTGGTTTTCTTTTGCCTTTTTTTTTTTCCCTCCAAACCAGAAGTAAAACTGGCTGCTGCTGCTGCTGCTGTTGCTCAACCCTGTTTTATTTTTTATCCTCTCATCTGCTTGCCTTTCTAATTGCACGTGTCCTTTTGTAAACACCCAGGTTCCTGCTCAATGAAGATGCCTACCCTGGTGCAGACATTACTTTGATTTCCCATTCCTCATTCCAATTCCTTTCCTCCCTTCCCCTTCCTACTCCCCTGTCCCCCATGTATGTTCATGAGCATCTTTTTATGTTGGCAGTATTGACTGAAGATAGTCAAGAGCAGTTATGCATTTTGGAAGAATGTTAATGGCTTTGACACCAAAATACTTTTCCATTAATGTTTTATCTGTTTTCCATTTAGCAGAGGAAGGAAGGGTGTTAATATGAAGCCACTTATCACATACTACATAATGATTGTATCAAAAAAAATAGTATTTGTATAACTATGCAGCTCAAATAGAAAAAATAGAAGCAGTGTACATTAGAGAAGCAACTGGTCTACTTTGTGAGCAACAGAAGAGGAACATCTAATATGGATGCAAATCTGAATTCTTCAAATCATATTGAAGTGTAATTCTCCTCCATCTTCTGTCCTAAAGTCGGAAGTCTTAAAGTTTTGACTTTTAGTTATACCATGTGCAATTTTCACTGCTAACTATAGTCAAATTGATCAATAGTTTATTGCAGAGGTGAAGATTTTCTGTATGGATATATTAATGAAATTGAAAGGTTGGTCATTAGAAGTAGAGGAATGTTTAAATCAACTATGTTACGTTGTCAAAATTTTTTATATTGAAAGTAACAGGAAATCTCCCGTTTGTTCAGAAACCTATCCCAAGCCAAACATTCTTAGTAACTACCCTGGTCAGATCTTGAAAGTGGAAAAGCAGCACTAATGTCAAGAGATGACATTTTAGAGCTTTAAATGGAGGTCCTGCCACTTCTATCAGACCCAGTATGATTTCGACACTGGAAACTAGGTTCTTAGTAACTTTGTTGATATGAGTGTTGACACAAAATCACATCTAGCAAACCTGCAGGTTCTTGGCATGGGTTCCCGCTGACCTAAACTGGCAGAGTCAGGCATTTTCCAGTGAAATTCCTGTTGTCAAAAGTAAGAATTTTGCTAGTTTAAAAAATCAAAAATCAACAAGAGCAAGTCCAGAATAGCATTTTTGTCCCAAAACTTTAGTTGCCTTGGAGCAAAATAAAGACCTTCACAGAACGTAAGTAGTTTCTTCTCTCTCTCCCTGCAAATTACTTACTGCCTGCTACATGTAAAATATTCATCTGACAAACAAAGAATTGCTGAGCAGGTGGGTGGAGAAACTTTCATTACTTTTTTCTCATACAGAAAGAAATTGCATGGGAGAATTTTCAGCTTAGCTATAAATAAGCTGCCTATGTGGAGGGGGGGAGGCACACAAATACATACATACAGACTTATTTGAAACTGCAAGTGTCATGAAAGAAAAAAAATGCATGTTTAAAAGAATTGTAAGGTAACCTGGGATTATGGTGAGAATACAGATTTAGTAAATCTTTGTGTCATGTTTAGCTAGTACTTTCTTTGCCTCTGCTCAGAAGAGAGGGTGTTTCACAGTGACATTTATTCAACTGTAATTACTCAGTCCAGAATTAATGACAGAAATTTTAAAGCACCGGAACAATAAATCTGTTGGAGAGAATTGCTAGAGTCTCACACAAGTTGAAGAAATCTGTATTTTGATCATTTTACTTTAATTATTTATATGTTTTTATGCTGCTGGCAACAGTCTTACACAAGATGTTAATTTTGATTTATTTGTAATAAGAGCATGAAGCCTTTAGAACCTTCATGGACGCACTGGGATGCTGATAGCCCATTGCAAACACAGGTGTTTGAGAGGAAAGTAAATGTTTTCTACTTTCTGATACATGAAGTTACTTAGCTGTTCCAACATCTCTCAGGTGATGCTGTCAAAAACAAAACCCTCAAATAGCATAGGAAGATCAGGGACTCTCTTGAACAGCTCTTTAAAAAATAAAATAGAAAACTATGCCTGTTCTCACTATAACATAGAAACACATACGGTAAGAATCAATATGCATACGCCAAAAGGGAAAGAAACAGACTGAACATGACAGAGAACTAAAAAAAAGTTGGTGAATATAACAATATAGAAAGACTTAAAAAAGGGTTTTCTGGACTGATTTGAAGGAAAGAGTAAGTAGTTTGTTTAAGATACGTAAAAATCTGTGCTAAGACTTTGGAAAACATATCAAAGTCAGACTGTGAGCATAACAAAAAAGATTGAAAAGTGGGTAAGGGGTTCAAGAAGGACATTTAGTAACTGGGAGCAGAATATCTTAGTGGCCAAGAGTAAAGATGAGGAGTGTCAAGCTCACATTTCAAAGGTAAGTATAGAGGTTGATGGACTTTCACAGGAGATTCGTCATTACGCGGTCAAAGACAATTTTAACAGCAGAAAAGGAACAGGAAAGGTATAAAGCTGAGTCCAAGCATTTGATGCTGGAGATGATAATACCTGGATCAAGGTTTCAGCACTGGCAAGAAGAAATTTAAACAGCAAAAGAAATTAGAATCTACTGGTTTCTGCATTTATTATTTATTTTCTGTATTACTTGCCAGGTAAAGGCAAAAAGAGACTTGATGGTGTCTTTTTAAAGATCAGCTCCCTGGATATGAGTTTTATTGTAAAGATTAACATATAAATAATTGCCTTGATTTGAAAATTCCAGAGAAAGCAGGGGAGGTGGAAGTGCTTTAAACTGGCTGCTGAGAAACACAGTGCAGTTCATCCCCGATCCTTAGCACTCACGCAGTTCTCCTTTTTCTTGCTACGAGGTTGAATTAACTTGCACCAAGTTCTGTTTGTAAGGAAAGTTTGTGCACCACATGTTAAAAAAAGAAGGTAGAGATAAAAGTTCACAGTGCTTAACTTGCCTCAAAATCATTTTAAACACAAACCATTAGAAAACTGTTAGTTTGAAATTGTTTATGTGATCTTGCAAGGCTTTTAAAACATGATAACCATCACACTTTACACCTCTCTGAAAGGTTAGTTTAATCGTAGATCACATAAAATTGGTTTCCACAAATGCATAATGGTTCATATGTCACGCTTGAACTAAATGGTTTTTTAAATGGAGCTGAAATTATTTTGATGTGTACACATTCCCAGATTTTTTTTTTCCTACAACCTTTCTTAAACCAGCCCCCATCAGGAACCATTCCCTTAAAGTCTCATTAATAATTCAGATGTTCTGATGACTTTAAAAGATCTATGGAATTGAGGCTTTTTTTTTTTTTTAACTGCTTGACAAAAAGATAAATGAATGTAGAAAGAAGCGGTAGGAGTCTGGCAAGCTGTAGATCATTTCTGAACAGATTGTAACTTTATCATTCTGTCAGGAAGAATAATTTAAAGCACTTAATCAGTTAGCTTCAGTGTGCAGGATGTAACATTATGAATTCCTATCATCCAATCTGTTCAAATCAAAGGGAACTTAATTATAATAGGTAAGAGAGAGAGAGAGAGATGGGAGACTGAACATTGTTGAGACTCAGGCAACTTTAAGGGGGCAGGGAACTATTTACCCCAACCACAAATGAGTAGGGTATTTTAAAAAGAAGTAAAATACATTTTAGAAAATGACAGGAAAAACAATACAGTAGTTCTGTTTACCTTTAGTAATAAGCCACTAATGATTAATACAATTCCTTTGTTTCAACTTAAATTTTTTAAAAAACATAAGCACAGGTGACAAATATATCTGAAAAAAAATAGATTAAACCCTCATGAGTTTGGGGTTTGTTGGTGGGGTGGGTGTGGGGGTGTGTGTGTGTTGCTTAAAGTCCATAGCAAGTATAAGTGTTTAAATTTCGTATTCCTGAAAGTGACTGAGAAGTCCAGTAATTCTGGAAATCAATCCACTTCTTTAGAGGCCCTAACTTGGAAGCTAGTTGCTTATTTTTATGCATTTATGTCCAGATATTTGTCCTCTATTCTTCCTGGTCTTCCAGTTTCTCTTCTCTGCTTCTTCACCTCCTGAGCTTTTGTGCTTGATCCTTGGGTTTCTAAGGTGGATTTTGCTTTGCTTATTTTTATTTATTTATTTATTTAACACGAGCACTCCTTCCACTCCTGCACTGATTCCAGCCCAGATACAGCAGCATTTCAGTGGTAAGCAAAAGCGGCAGTTTGTATTATGCAAGTGAGACACTAAAAATTCTGAAGCATTTTGGGTTCCCATTGGAATGCGAGGTAGTGCATAAATTTAAGAGAGCAGCTCTGATGTGCCCCAGTTGCAGAATCCTGTGCCAAGAACCATTTGTGCCCACTGCTCTGCACACCCACCTCTGGAATTTGGGGAAGGAGGACAAGAATGGAGATTCCTGTTCACAAATGCTTGTCAAAGCACAAGCACCTAATGGCTATAAGCCACTGTAAGACCAGGATTTTCTAAGTCTTTGAATAGAGCTGCTTTCAAAGTTGCACACCTGTAATTAAGAAATGACAGCAGTAATTGTTCTCTAAAGGGCTTAAGAAAATTCTTTTGCCTTTTTTTTTCTTTTGTGAATTTTAAGAAGATTTTGTCCACATCTGTGTATGAAAAATGCAATATAGTAGTTACAGTGATAAGCAGCTAGGGAATGGCTGCAATGCTGCAGCCTCTCAGCATCCTCACTCCGTCCCACATTGCTCCCGGCCCACCCTAAATCGGTACCATAAAATTCTTCCTATGGTCATGGAAACAGACACTGCCCAAAGATATAAAAGGAACTCTAATCTTCCTTTAAGTCCCTGCTTCCTTTGCCTTGCTGTCATGTATCACTACCAGTCCATTCACTTGAGCCCTTACTACAGTCATCTGCAGGATCAGGTATGTTCCATACCCCTTCCCAAACTGGAGAGTTCAGCAGCGCCCAAGCAGCCAGGTTGCTAAGTAGCAATATAATGGCCATCCTGTGCAGGAACGCAGCCATCTGGCAGCATGAATGCAAGCCGTATTTATTCTAGCACCAACTGTGGAAAGTTCTTCTTCACATTCTCCTGCATGATTTCTGAGCCAGCGGTAGTGACCACCCTGAGGCTGAAATGGTTCAGAGAAGCCTCTGACTCTTTATGGTGCTCCTCTGGATACGGACTCACATGCTCTTTTCTGCATTACCCTTATCCCTTCTGCTCTCCCTGGCTTCTCAGTTTAGCCTTTTATTTGTATCATTTTTTCAATAAATGAATCAGAAGGTGTTCACCTGAGCACGGAAAAAAAAAAAAAAGAGAGCTCTCTTACATTCAACAAGCAAACTAGCATATTGACAGTTTTCTTTAGCTTCTCCTATCAAATCTGCAAACATGTCATCCTCCTTTCATGAAAAGTATTTTCAGAGGTATTAATCGAATGCACTGTACTGCTAGTAATTAGTCAAAGTCACCTTCTATTGATTGCCTTTTCTCTATAAACTTTACTGACTGCTCCCCCCTCCTTTTTTTTTTTTTTTTTTTTGGTGTTTATGTGTATATGTGCTTCACTAATTAAAACTCTCATTTTCCCTCCTTATTCTGTCTCTACCCATTTTGCTCCTTAGCAGAAAAGAAATGGTTTACAGATGAACCGGATAATGCCTATCCCAGAAACATTCAAATCAAGCCCATGAGCACCCACATGGCCAATCAGATCAATCAATATAAATCGACAAGCAGCTTGATACCACCAATCAGAGAAGTTGAAGATGAATGTTGACTCCTTCGAGGCCAGAACTATTTTTTTAAAGCCTGACAAACTTCATGAATGGTGATGTGACATTTATTCCTCTTACATGCTGAACCACTGATGGAGAAGGGCAAGCTTAATGGGAAAATAAAGTAGACAGATCTTTGTTTGTCTGCCTTTAATATTGCTTCCACGTATTTTGGAAACTATTTCATTTATAAATGAACATAATCAAAACTAGTCATGTATAGCCTCTAGCATTTTAAATTATTTTTATTTATTAGAAAAAA